AGTACTCTAAACTGTATAAATAATGTAAAATTAAATTGAATTTATTAGCCAATCAGACAAACTTCTGCCTATGAGATCCCCCTGTATGAGTTTTTCCAGAGGGTTTTAGGTCGGAAAAGCATGTGACTGCCCTCGATTATTGGAGACTGCCATTTGATAAGCAAACTTTTCAACGATAGAGATCATAATTAGAAAAATGAAAAAGTTTATACATCGCTCACTTGAAAATGAATACGTTATTTATTTCGATTCCTGCACGTTAATTCTGAAACTCTCATTACGAAATATTACATTAAAAATAAAAACAAATTGTTATAATCCGTCATGCTAAAAGTTTATAGAAAATATTTTAATATCAATTATTATCGATTTTTTTATTCGGTAGCAAGCACCCTTGCAATCGATAAAAATTTCCTGATATATCTTCCTAAAAAAAAACATTCTTTTTAGAATGACAGCTTATCAAACTTTCGTACTATTGAGATGAATTGATTATCAGATATACAAATGTCGTGTAACCGTGAACAATCGTAACGAAGGGGAGTACATAGATTCATATTAGCCTAATAAAGTGCACAGAATCTGATAAGCCATTTTAAGATTAAAAGTTAAATATAAACAATAATGATCATTTCTATTTTTTGCAGTGAAAAATTTTAAAAGGAAATTATGATCTGATAAGTATTATCTGATTCTGAAATTTTGAATTGTTCGGATGATTTCGCTCTGAATTATGCAAGAACATATTGGCTAAAAAGCATCACTTTCCGAATAAGGCGGTGCAAAAGAGGTACAAAATCATCGCCATTTGTCGCTATAAAATTTACAACTTTGAAAATCTTTTTAAAAATAAATAAATAAATAAAGTTCTTTTTAATGTTAATTTTATCATAAACCTGAAGCCTCTTATTATACAGGCAGAATGCTAAATCAAAAATTTTATTTCTACAGTCACACATTAAGAATATCACATGAATATTATTTATAATGCAAACATTCTTAGATAGAAAAGTAAAATCTAATTTTAGTAAAATATATATTATTCTTTATTCTTGTATGCATTTCGTTTCCGAACAAATGAGATTTCGTTGAGAAATCAGATAAAATTTTTTTTTGCGAATGGATCAATTATAAAAATGCCATGTTTTCGAATTTTGTTTATCATGTATCCTCCTCCCACGCAGACATTTCATGACACGTTTTTTTACGTTTACAATTCACGACACGTTTTACGTTTATAATTTACAACACTTTTTTTTTACGTTAACCTTAAGATTCAAAATTTAAAATATGGTTTATCTATTTGACATCCCCGCTTATTTTATTATCTTGCGTGAAACGCTCGAAGTTACGATCATTCTTGCTGTACTTCTAGGCTTTATTGACAATCTTTTACCTGATGATAAAGACATTGCCTTGCGAAAGCAGTTTAAAAAACAACTATGGATTGGGTCATTGTTAGGGTTAATTGTGTCACTGCTCCTTGGTGGTATTTTTATTGCTGTTTTCTACACTGCTGCTAGAAATTTATGGAATGAAAGTGAACCTGCGTGGGGTGAGTTCATCACAAATGGTTCTACCACAAAATCCTGACATCCAAAATCTCGAAACCATAATTCCGGCATTACAAATAATATTTAAAGATTAGTAATCACATTAGCAATCATTGTCAACCCTAAATTTTTAATTGTTACATCGCGTGATGTCAGCATTGCGGCCTGTCGAGATTTTAGATGTCGTGATTCTGTGGTAGAACCATCACAAATACTTCTATATCATACCTATTTATCTAATCAATTGAATTTTGTATTTGAATATAGAGGGCACCTTTTCCCTTATTGCCACTATCGTTATAACTATAATGTCATTAAGTATGCTTCGTGTCCAGCAATGGAAAAAAAAATGGGAAAATAAACTCCAAGGTGCAACCGAATTATATCTCGAACGACATAATAAAGGAAACAAATGGGCACTAATATTACTGCCTTTCACGGTCATTTGCCGCGAAGCATTGGAATCAATCGTATTCATTGCTGGGGTATTTATTATATCTATTATATTTTTTGGTACCATTAGCGTTAGCATTGTTTATACTTTCATCAATTCATAGGTTGGTTACGATAAAGATGCCTCCGGACTTCCTATCCCTATTATTACGGGCCTTATTACTGGCTTCTTCATAGGATGGCTTATATATAAAGGCTCTCACACCATTTCGCTTAAAATATTTTTCATCGCCACAACTACCTTATTATTATTCATTGCTGCTGGTCTTTTCTCTAGAGCCGTTTATGAATTTCACGAAATCTCTGGTGCTCAAAAGATCGTTGTTTGGCAATTAAATTGTTGTGATCCGGAAGGAGAAAATGAATATTTTTGGGCTATCATGGGTGCAATATTTGGTTGGAGAAATGTGGCTACTGTTGATTCAACAGTTAGCTATTTCGTCTATTGGTTTGTAATAATCATTGCGTCTGTGATAATAATAATCCGAGGAAAGAAAGCCGACGACGATGTCATTGACACCATAGAACACAATGATTCTAGCGAAAAAGACGAAAAAGACGCAGCAAATAACGATATCGTTTAATACCTTAATTACCAAACCTCTCTCTTTATATATAGTAATGCATTACATATATATTTAATCAAAATAGTTTTTATGCAAATCGATAATTATTAATTTATATTTATCTTTTTAAATCAAAAAAAAAAAAATTTCAAAAATCAGAATCAAAAAAAAAAAAAGCAAAAACAAAAAAAAAACAAAAAAGAAAGCTCAATTATCTTGTTATATTTATTGTTATTATTTTTTTACAAAACTTATTAAGTTCCATATTTAACACAAGCTAGCTTATCTATGCATTTTATAATTATCTCATACGTATGTAATTCGATTTTTTTCTTTTCTTTTTTTTTTATCCAAACCTTTTTATTTCACCGATATTTAAAATAAGAGAGGAGGCATGTGAATTTTTAATAAAGGCAGGTATTTTAAGCGATATTTAAACTTAAAAACAAAATCATAGTGAAAGTTTCACATTGAGACTAAGATAAACTATAGCTCTTTGTAATTGCCACTACACCCGAAAATGGGCAAATCGCGGTTTCTCCAAAATTCCCGCGCGGGATTCATTAAACTACAAAAAACGCGTGATTGATCCATGATTTTGATTGTACAATGGCTGTGATCTGGTCCGCATTATACATAATTTGGTCGGAATTCAATTTTTGAATTTTTAATTGCGAAAATGGAAATTTTATGGTTTGGGCCTGTGCAATTGTAAAATTAGCCCAAGAACATATTTCACTTAGGATTGAAAATTACATTTTACAAACTTACAATAAATGTAATTTCCATAATTTTAATAACATGTAAATTTTACACGCGTGATATATAGTGCCAGCGCTATGAAAAATTTAGCTGTCGTTATTGAATTTCAATAGATATTGCATAAATTTTACTAAAGTTGCTCTATATAATAGGATTGAGATAGCTTTTGTCTCGAATCAGCTCATAACCAGGCATTTGACATACCCAATTACAGTCATATGGGTAATTTTGTAGTAAGTTTTAGTATGATGATAGTATTAATAATGGAATAGAGTAAGAGGAATTATGAGGTAATAGTTACGATTAGTAAATCAGATTAGTAATGATGACGTTCATCAGTTAAATTGATTTGAGTATTTAAGTATTGTAATGAATAGAGGAAAAGATAGTTTTATTTTATTTGCGAACCTAACATTTAGTTTGGTTTTGTCAATCTCTTTCATTCTACTCAAAACTTTAGTTAAAAATTATCTATTCATTGATTATCTCTTAAACCATCTAGCATTCATATTTGAATGCTAAAATGTTTTTTGATCTATTTGTCTAATTACTTTAAATTTTATTAAATCATGTCTTACTAATTTTTAAGTTAAATTAAAAGTATGTCACAAGTTAGTTATCAAATAATTCATGTTTCATGAAATTTCTTCAATACTATTTTAAAAATTAGTTTTTTAATATAATTATATAGGATTTTAGTGTTTAAACTTAATATTAATAAAGGATTTTGTATTTAATAAAGGATTTTGTATATAATATTTATAAAAATTTTTTAAAAATCTTTATACAAAAATATCTTTTATAGTATAATATTAAAATTAATCAAGAATTTTTTATGATCAATTTTATATAATTAATTTTTTAAAATAATAGTAAAGAAATAAAATAATTCAAAAGTATAAGTAAAATAGTATACTTTTCAACTATTATATAGATTTATATTTCTGTTTAGGTTACATAAAGTAATCAACATTATAATTACAAAATATGTTATATAATATCATGGGTCAGAAAAATGCAATAATTTGTGTGTAATGGTATATAGCACAAACAATGAGCAGGACCCACAGATCATACATGCATTCTGACCTTCCAAAAACAGTAAAACATGCATAATTAGGCCTTCTATGCTAAGAACACAAGACAAGGTAGTTGTAACAATACTATATCTTCTCCGTAATTTTTCTTTTTCATTATTTTTCTAAGTCTTTTCTTAATTACATGTTAATTACTATAATTAATTTAGCTATATTTAGTTTATCAGCTTATCAAATATAATTAGGATTAATTTAGCAAATGTAA